CGCATGGCGCTGGTGCGGCAGCAGGAGGATGCTGGTGGTGGGAGGAGGCCCCAGCTCTCGGTAAGGAGCAGTGCCGTGGGCTGGGGATGCTGCGGTGGCTCCGGGCTTATGGTTCCCTCCCTCCCGGCAGGGCTGGCAGGAGCAGCGCGCCCGGCATGCGCGGGACCTGCAGCTCATCGACGCCTACCGGGAGCACATCAAGGGTGAGAGCATCTCCCGGGTGCTCAGCCAGGCCATCACTGCCACCCACACCGTGCACGCCGTGCTGGGGACGGCTGAGTTCTTTGAGTTCGCCCTGAAGAACCCCTATGGCGTCCAGCACACAGTGACCATTGAGGTCGACCACCCCGAGCTCAGGTGGGAGCCGAAGCGGGGTCTTGCCTGTGTGCGTGGGGAAATGCCAGGGTGGCACTGGCTTCCAACCAGTCCTCACCAGCACCTCTGCTGCTTGGTCCCCCAGTGTTATACTGGACCCGAGGGAGTGGCGGCACTTCAAGGAGCTGACCAAGAGCGTTACACCGGTGGAGGAGGAGATGTTCCACCTCCGTGATGACCTCAGGCCTCAGGTCTACCTGCGCCCCAACGAGACCGTCCGCATCCCCTTCAAATACCAGACCTTCTCCGCAGACCCCGCGGTCGTTGCGGCACAGGTAGGTGCAGGCCCCTGTTTTGAGCCGTTCCCAGTAGGAAGCGTTTCCCTCGACTGTGTTTGCCTATGCAGGGCAGGGTGGTACCGCCACAAGGAGCACTATGCAGTCGTAGTGGTGCTGCGTCCCGAGACAACCCGCTCTCGTACCCACAGGGGCCTGCAGGGCTGGGCGCTGGTGCCGACGCGGCTGCCTGCTCCCTGGGGAAGAGTGGGGCCAGGCGGACGAAGCACATCCAGGTGAGGGAGCCGGGCGAAAACGCCGCTCGAGGGGCTGTGCGGGAGGAGAAGCGTCACTCCTGCAAAACTCCGTCCCTCTCCCGCCGGCCCCCCGGGACAGGTCTCCTTCCAGGTGAGCGGGGGGAAGCCCATCGCGCTCCTGCGGGTGAAGGTGGAGCCGCAACCCCACGTGGTGGACCAGACCTTCCGCTTCTACCACCCGGAGCTCACCTTCCTGAAGAAGACCATCCGGCTGCCCCCCTGGCACACCCTCCCCGGTGAGCCTGCGGTGTCCCCCGGTGGGGGCTCGGGCTCTTTCTCCTTAGTGGGCATCCCTGGGTCAGGGGGTCCTTCCCGGAGGTGCGGGTGGCATCCAGAGAGCTCCTCTCTGCTTCCTCGCCCTTTCACAGCCTTGGGCTCCCCGTTAATTTTATATTTAATTTCCTGCACCAGGTCTGTGGCCGTGTGGGGTGCAGGGTAGCGAGCTCAGACAGAGAAAACACTGAAGACAGTTTCACCTCGGGCTCTATCCTCTGCAGGCGCACCCGTGGGGATGCCGGGGGGAGAGCCAGAGATGTTTGTTCGCTGCAGCGACCCTGACATCATTTGCGAAACCAAAAATATGGTACTGGTTATGCTTCAGCATCAGTCTGTCCCTTGTGTCCTTCTGCTGGGGGTTGTTTTCGTTGGCAGAGAAATACCTTGCACCCACAGAGCATCCCCATTTATCAGCCCGTGGTGGTGAAACACTGGCAGTGATGAAGCCAAAATTGCCCTTTATTCCCAATTAAAAGGACCCGTGTTGTTTTTGTGGTTGAAGCTGAATGCTGCACCTTATCGCGTTGTGCAGCAGCCTGTATTTGCTTGTTCTTTGGAGCAAATACATGATTAAATGCTGGGGATGATTAAAATGCTGGGGAAAAGCAGCCTTTGTCAGGCATGGGATAGACCTTCCCCGCTGCTTGGGGTATCCACGGCCGCTGGAGGCGTGCGGCGGGGGGCCGGCGCGTCCCCGGAACGCGTGGCAGAGCGTCTCCCCGCTGGGTGATGCTGGGCGGTGGGGAGGGCCGCGCAGGCCGCGGTGCTCTTCGGGCCCAGCCTCCCTCCCCGTGCACAGCCCTTGCTTCGCAATGCCCAGCAAAGGTTTCCTGGGCTCGCTTTGCAGCTGCGGGAGGTAGAAAGGAAAAATAAACTTGCGCACATAGGTGCAGATGGCGACGAAGGGTAGTTGCTAATTGCTGTTGCAGAAACGCGTTAGTATGGTAATTGGATTACGGCTTGTTAGAAAACTTGGGGAAAATTTGCCAAAATTTGATTACAGGTGCAGACCTGGAATGCGATAGTCCTTTGTATCCTCTTTTGTAATTAAAAATACTGGAAGAGCTCAGCCAAGCTGTATAATAACTTAATAACATAGTTTAACTAGATGCTGAAAGCATCTGCTTTCGTAAGTGGGTTGGTGGCGGGTTTTTCCGTTAATGGGAAGGAAACCCTGGAGTCCTCATTAGCTGGTTTGATCTCGAGGTTAACTGTTGGAACGATGCTCCGATTTCTGCGTGCAGGGGCCTGGGGAGCCACAGGATGTCTTCTTAAAAGTAGCCGGAGGACCAAGCCCACAGATCAAAAAGTTCTTCGTTGCTATTTATACGTAAGTAGCAGGACCCCAAAAAGCGAGGAACGCTGACCCCGAGTGTGAGGCAGGGCAGGAGGGGAGCTCGTGCCGCCCTTTCTTTGCTCGTGGCTTCCTGAGCCTGGCCAGCTTCGCTGAGCAGCAGAAAGCCGGGCAGGAGCCGGGCTGCCTGTTTGCAGCTTAGGGTTTTACGTCATTCTCTTCCTCTAAATAATCCCTGTCCAGAGCATCTCCGGTGTGCGAGCTAATGCCTTCTGAGCCAGCCGGGCTCTCTCTGTGCCAGGCGATGCTCCTACATGAGCTGTAGGAAGGGGGGAGACTGACGTTGAGGTCCTTAGAAGAAGCTTTCCCGGAGCTCAGGCTCCCGCTTTGGGCTCCCCGCTTGTCGTTCGGCCGCTTGCTCTGAGCTCGCGATGCCGTCAGCGATCCCTGTCCGTCTGTCTTTGCCACAGGGACGCCTGGCTGGCGGCACCCGTCCAGATCTGGCAGTTCTACCTGCACTCGCTGCAGCGCCTGGACGTCAGCTGCGTGGCCGGGCAGCCCCCCCGCCTCTCCCTGCTGCTGCGGGGCACCCCGGCCCCGCGGAGGGTGCGGGCGTTCACCTCCCACCCCCAGGAGCTGGAGGTAACCCGCCGCCGGCGGGCTCGGGGCGAGCGGGGGGCTGGCCTGGACCAGCCCGGTGAGATCCCCTCCGGAAAGGGAAGGCAGCCCACTTGGAATGATGAACAATTTACTGCCATAAAGTGTTTGTGATAATTATCTTTTGATTAGAGCTGTCATGTGTAGGATCATCGGCACGAAACCCCGGAGGGCAAATTATCTGCGTTAATGAGACCATCTGAAGACTAACAATTTCTTTAGAATTTGTTTGGCCATAATTGCGAATGTGAATAATTAAAGGCACAAAAATTCCATCACTGTCCCGTAAACAAAATAAAAAGTCTCCCTGGGCGAAGCCTGCGAGGGGAGGGAGTCCCCGGGCCAGGAGGAGCCGGCTCTCCCCGAGTGGCTCTTATCCTTCCCAACACGAAGCCGGTCCCAGCACGTTTGTGTAGGAGGGATTCAGTAGCGGTGGCGTAGGTGCGCAGGTTTTTAAGAGCAATTGGGTCTGGTTTATACTCCAAGCTGGACGTCGCGGAGGTGCGATAGGCCGCCGCAGGTGGCTGCAGCTCCTGGTCTTGGTTTCTGCAGGTGGATCCGGACGGTGCCTTCCTTCTCCCTGCCAACGGCATCCAGGACCTGTACATCGGCGTGAGGCCTCGGCGGGCTGGCAGCAGGTTCATCTACCTCAACCTGGTGGATGTGGAGTCCCACCAGCTGGTGTCCTCCTGGCTGCTCTGCCTCTCCTGCAGACAGCCCCTCGTCTCCAAGGTACGGTGGCTCTCGTGCCAGAAAAACGTGGTGATGGCGCCGGACCAGCGGTCGCGGTCCGGCCGATAGGCCGGGGCTGTCTCCTGCTTCTTCCTCCCTTTACATCTATGGGGTTTTTGGCACTTGCACCCTGAGTGCACATTTAGCCCCCGGGTGATCGAATAATCTTGCCGAAGACCACAGTAAAATGTCTTTCGGGCTGTTTTGAAGGCGCTCGCATGCTGAGGAGTGCCAGCTCTGAAGTATCTCCACTTGTGAAATTAAAGCTACAGCATGCTGCTTCCTATTAGCACTGTGCTGGCGGAGGCCTTGCCTCAAAGATAGAAAATTAGATTTCCTGGCTAATGTGTTCCTTTTAAAAAGGTTTTCCTGAAACCCTCGGTACTAGGGGAAGTTCAGATCGGTGTTTAAACCGATGCCCCAGCGTCCTGCCAAGTGCCAGCCTGCCTCCCGGTGCCGCGGGGCATTATCTGCGCAAGTGCCACGGCTCTCCCCGTGGACGTCCGTTAATTAGCTGGAGAATGAGCTGACCAGTCCCAGCTGCTCCCCCGGCCCTTTGCCATTTGGGCTTGTAATTACTTCTGCGAATGTGCCGGTGCCAGCGGCAGCGCGAGGAGGATGCTTTTGCTCGAAGGCGGTTTCTTTATACCGGCTGGTAGAGATCAAATGCAAGGTGTAGAAGGGGAGAGGCGGGGGCGTAAGGCAATGTGCCCCCAAAACACCCGCTGCAACACGTCGGCGCAAGAGGCAATTCTCTGTAGTCAGTTTGGGGGAGCGCCTGTTGTCCCCTCTGCCCCCTCTGCAGTCTGCGCCGCCTCTGCCACGGCTTGTGCTTGACCCACAGGCGTTCGAGATCTCGCTCCCCGCGGGAGGCGGAAGAGGCTGCAACAAGCGCATCACCTACACCAACCCCTACCCCTCGCCCAGGCTCTACTTCTTGTGCACCAACCGGCCCGACCTCCTGCAGTTCAAGGAGGACTCCTTCCAGGTACGTCCTCTTGCCAGGCCCCTGCCCTCATCTGGCTGGACCACGTGAGGCGCAGGGCGCGGTGCTCGGTGGGCGCGGTGCTCGGTGGGCGCAGGGTGCGGTGCGATGCTTGGCAGAGGCAGAGCTTGCTGCTGCAGGAGGGCCGTGCTAGCCTGGGGAGAGTGGGCACGTCAAGGGCTCCAGGCCGCGTCCTGCCGCCTCTCCTCCCGCCCGTTCTCCCGCAGGTTGCCGGCGGGGAGATGTACACCATCGGCCTGCGCTTCGCCCCGAGCCAGGGCACGGGTGAGGAGGAGATCCTGATTCACATCAACGACCACGAGGACAAGAATGAGGAAACCTTCTGTGTGAAGGTCCTCTACCAGTGAGGCTGCCCGCCGCAGCAAAGCGGCTGGTCTCTGCGCCGGCCGCCGTGGCTCCCCAGCAGTGCCACCCTGGGGATGCCCGTGCCTCTCCCATGGGGGGTTGTGAGCCCGGTCCCCTTGTGGTCACCTCACCAAGCCGGGAGGTCTTGCTGTCCGCCGGGATCCCCGCTGGTGGTGCCACGTGGCTCTGTCTGCACAAATCAGGGAGAGCGAACGTATTTGGTACCGTGCATCGCGAGCACAGGATATCTCTATTTTTGTAAAGCGTTACTATATTTTAGGCACGTTGGAATCCTTTTTTTAACTTAAAGTTTGCAGATCTGATTCTGCAAAGTATTTTTAAAGTATTTTATATTCTACAGTGAATAGAAGTTTTGCAGTTTGCACACGCTGAAGCAGTTTTCTGGGATTTTTTTGATACTTTTTACCCATCCTAGATTAATTAAACTTGCTGCGCAGAACTGGCAGAGGGTGGTGGTATTTTCTTCCGTGGGAGGTGAAACCCTTGGAGTGCCTGTCCTGCGGAGGCGAGCGCCGGGCTCGCCCTGCCTGCTGCCAAGGTGCCGTCAGTCCCGGGGAGGGGGAGCACTGGGGCTCCCCTGCCTCACCCCCAGTTCCCTGGAGCATCCCAGGGGTTGGGGCAGAGACCGTGGAGGGGAATGAGGGGAAAATAAGGTGTGGGCTGGCACCTCGGGGGCTGAGGGATGACAGTCCCGTCCCAGTGCGTTGTAATCCTGTTTGTCGAGTGCTAAAAGGCTCTCCCTGTTCCTCACCAGTTTCTCTTGCTGTGATGCATTGGGCTCGCTGTGTGGAGGGCGAAAAACCCAGAGATGAGAGGAAAAAGGCAGCTGAGGCAGGCAAATGGGGGGGGGGGGATGTCTCCTGCGGGGGCGGCTGGGGGGCCCTGCTCTTGCTGTGCCCCTCTGCCGTGGCCACGCGCTGGGCAGAGCCCCGGGGGGCAGCCCGCCGCCCCCGGGAGATGTGTGCCCCCGCGAGCGCCGCCCCGCTGCTTTACGGGGTCAGAGGCTGATGGATTAGTAGCCTCGATGGAGTCGTGTGCCGAGTTCCTCTGCCTCCCTAGGACTGATCGGAAATGACAGCTAATATTTTAAAAATTATTATACTGTCTGCAGCACAGAGAGGCCCCTAAGTTGGGTTATTAAACTAGATTAGCTGAATAATTTTCATTACATCTTCATACAATGATATTTCTTGAGGCTTATGAAGGAGCTGGTGCTGTACCCTCAGCCACAGCAGCGGAGGCAGCTCCGGGGGTGCGTCGAGCGCCGGGCGGTCGCAGCTGCCGGGACGTGATGTGCTGGTGGGCTGCGGCGCATGGCTCTCCTCGCCGGTGCGCGTAAGGTGCGCCTGGCCGTGAGCAGCCCGGTGGGCACCAGTGCACGGGCAGGGTGCTGCCTGCTCCCCCGAAGCCCGCAGCCGTGCCCTGGGTTTGACCTGAAATCTAGAAAACCAGTGAGGCCGTTGAAGACGACTTTCCTGGTAGGAGCTGGAGATGTCTCGTGTCCCGGGTCCTTCGGGAGGGACCTGGACACCCATGGCCGCTCCTTTACGGCGCTGCCTGGGGCCAGGAGGAAGGGCTGGTAAATAAAGCCTCCACAGCACCGGTTTAAGAAACCAGAGCGAGAATTTGTCACCTTTTAGTCATGTAAGGGTACGTGGGAAAACACTCTGCAGAGCCCTGTGTCCCTGCCGTGATGAAGCTGGTCTGAGCTGTCCCCCGGCCAGCCTGAATTGTTGCGGGTGATGAAGGTGTAATGAGGAGGCTGGATTATTTACGCACGTGCCTGTATTTAGCCACAGAGTTCAAGGGCAGCGTGGGGACTGGGAGCCAGCTGGCACCTTGGGGGTTCCCTTCTCCCCTGTGTTCCCAGGGAGGCAGAGCAGGCGAGAGCCATGTCACCTTCTCCGGCCCGCAATTCCTTTCCTACAGCCCACCCAGTCCCATGAATCTTTGTAGAGCTTTAATATGCCCTGCTGGCACCTGTTTATTTTCACTACATTAGCTTTAATTAAACAATTTCCTTTCTTCGAACGTAAGCAAACCACGGCAGTCGATGCGAGCGAGTTTGTCGGCGCAGCGGGGGCCGCAGAGGCGCATCCCCGGGGGTCGGGGGCTTGGGGAGCGGGACCCCCTCCCGCTGGGGGGCAAAGAGCCTCCACAGAGGCACGAGGCACACAGTGGGCGCTCCAGAGCCCGGCAGAAAAGGGGCTGCGGCCGTGCACGGTGCTGCTTGGCATTAAACCCACGGCCCTTGGAAACGCTGCGGCTGCTCGAGCGCGGGGCGAGCGCAGGAGCAGTGTCCACCACCCGGCTCTGCCAGGCAGGGGCTGGGATGGAGCCGCTTCTTGGGTTCATGCTTGTTAATGAAGTTGTCCCCGCTAATGACAATAAACTCGTAGCACCGCCTGCCTAGCATGCAACTCATTGTTCTCTTCCCATTTCATTCATGTCAGGAAGAAAATTGGATTCCAGTAATGATATATTTAATTCACCCTAAAAATCTCAGCTCACATCTCATCGCTGATGCGCACAGGGAAGAAAAGTTTGGGAAGCACTTTCGGTGGTTTCAATAACTCTTGGGACCACTCTGCCCTCTCGGAGCAGGCAGGACCCTTCGGGGACCTGAGCATCGCTGCCTTTGAAGGCTTTCCAGTTTGGTTCTGCTTGTACTTTGCCTCTCCAGGCATCCGTGTCCCGGTGGGTTTGTAGCTGTTGCCGGGAGGCATCCAGCATGGCACCAGCTGCCCTGGCACTGCGGGACGTGGGCTCCCCTTGGCTCGGAGTGATACTGGGAACCTTGAGGGATGCCGGCACGTGCGCCTCCGCGCTGTTGCTCTGGCACTTTCTCCGCCCTGCCCAGCTGCGGATGCGCTGCAGGGAGGCGAGCGGGACGGCTCCTGCTCGGCCCCTGCTCCCGCTGCCTCCGCGGGCTGCTCTCTGCAGGCTTTGCAACCCGTGCTGGCATTTCCCATCCCGAGTGGGGTGGATGGAAAAACCCATCAAAATCCCTTTGCTTACCCAGACAGTTGTCATCGTTGGTGCGCTGCTGCAGCAGCTGAACTTTGCTGAACTGCAGAACAAACAGCCTTTTCAGGGCCGTGTTTGGAACCAGCAGCGTGGGGCCCGGGGAGGCAGGAGCAGGCAGAAAGCCCTGCCTGATGCTTGCACACAGCTGCCCGCGCTGCCTTCCCACGGGAGCTGTGCTGGGTCTCCGGCACCAGCGGGTCCCCAGGCGTCGGCGCTGGGGGTTACTGCAGGTCTTCAGAGGCGCGGGGCAGGCGGGAGGCACCGCAAGAAGAGCAGCAGAGGAACAAGAGCAGCTACGTCTGCCCCCAGCTCCTGGCCGCACGCCCAGCCCAGCCTGAACCACGCCTGCAGCAGGGAGGGGCTGCTAAAAAACGGCAAGTCGAAATGAGAAAATAAATTAAAAAAAGTAAAAGAAAAAAGGGAGTTGGGTGCAAAAGCTCCTGCACCAGCAAAATGCCCCTTCAGACTGGGACATGGGCTCCCGAGATGCCCGGGCTTCAGCAGGGTACTGCTTGAGCCCAAACTTTTAAACCTGCCTTTTTTTTCCATGATGAGGATGAAAGTGCAACTGCCTGAGAAACCCGTAATTAAACAAAGGCTCACCATGATATTTGCTGGGAGCTTGCCAGCCTTGTAATGTGACATTACCGGTTATCTTTATGAGCTGAAATGAGTATTTAGGGTCTCTGCCAAATTGAAAGCCGATAGACTCGTTTGAAAGTGGCAGTGCAGCATCAGGCAAACGCTTCTGCACCCTGCCGAGGCGGCTCGGCCGCGGCGGGGGG